ACTCACTCACTCACTCACTCACTCACTCACTCACACACTCACTCTCACACTCTCACACTCTCTCACTCTCACACACTCACACACACACACACACACACACACTCACACACACACACATTTACACTTGCAGCCACATCCAGTAGCAAGTGTTTGGACACTATTCATGCTGATAATGTTTGAGTGACACTGTATTAGATAAAAATAAGCATTCATTAAAAAAAATTGCACAAACAGTTTTCAAGCAAAACATTTGACAAAAATAAGTTTGTTAGGTTTTGAAATGATAAGTTTGATACCCTTGTGAAAAGGAAGAACACTTTAGTACTTTTTTAAAAAGTGCTTCCACTTAACTGCATGCTAATTGTAATTCAATTAAAATGTAATATGGTTTAAAATTACATTAAATTCATTTAACTGAACTTTAGAGTGATTTTTTTGATCAATTTAAGTGGGACTTAATTACATTTTTATATGCAATTCTGTTGTCTGGTTTAAGGCTACTAAAATTCTAAATATACGAAAATACTAAAACTAAAATGTACTTTAATTTCATTTCTACTGAATCTTGCATGTCATGTATTTAAATATATTTGTAATTACACATTTGTAATGATGAATTTGTGATTTGGTACATTTAAAATACATTAACTTTAAATGTAATACTGAATAACGCACTACTGTTAAAATTAAAATAAAATTAAAATAGTTAAGTGTGGCGTACTACACTAAACTTAACCACACTTAAATGTCCTTTTTATTTCATTAAAATTATATTATCTGCAAGTACAGATTTTTTAAATATACTCTGAAGTACACTACAGATACGCTTCTTTTTTAAAAGGGTATGCTGTTTAAAAAGAAGATAAAACTGTGACACTTTGTGTTTGTGAAAAGATAGTTGATCATGTTTATTGTTTATAGTGTGATTCTCTACACTTAATTCATCCACAAAAAATCACCAAAACACCAGCTGATTCAAAGACATTGAGCAAAAATGAGGAAGAAAAGCTCCGGCAGCACGATATGCATGTTGCAGTGTTGATGATGTAGAGAAGGACAAAGGTTATTATGAAACACACTGTTATTGCAACCAGACGCAATAACACACCGCATGAACCTGATGTCAACTCAAGCCAAAGTGGCATTATGGGTGTGTTTGTGTTTTTCTTGTGGTATGCTGATGTAAGAGGCTGCTGGTTGAAGTTGATGTCCGAATGTGAAATTTGGTGATGATGACGATCGGTTTTATATCTAAGTTTTAGTGGCTTTCCTAAATTACACACATTAGGTCTAATAAATCAACAGTACATATTATACTAGATTTGTACATTTTCGGAAGAATATATAAGTGGTGATTCTGCGAAACTCGCTAACGGGATAGCATTCTAAATGAATAGTTCACCAAAATGAAACGTTTCTAAAAATATACTCACCCTCAGGCCATCCAAGATGTATTTGAGTTAGTTTTTTCATCAGATTTGGAGAAATGTAGCATTGCATCACTTGCTCACCAATGGATGCTCTGCAGTGAATGGGTGCCGTCAGAATGAGAGTCCAAACAGCTGAGAAAAACATCACAATAATCCACACCGCTCCAGTCCATCAGTTAACATCCTGTGAAGTGAAAAGCTGAGTGTTTGTAAGAAACAAATCCATAAGATTTTTTGTTCCTGTGGCTCAGTGGTAGAGCATTGCGTTAGCAGCGCAAAAGGTCGTGGGTTTGATTCCCAGGGAACACACATACTGGTAAAAAATGTGTAGCCTAAATGCACTGTAAGTCACTTTGGATAAAAGCGTCTGCTAAATGCATAAATTAAATTAAATTAAATTAAATTAAATAAGAGGTTTTAACTTTACACCGGCGTTTCTGTTCAAAATACAAGTCTATAATCCATAATAACACTTTCTCCAGTGAAAAAGTCCATCTCCTCCTCTCACATCAAAATCCACCAACATATTTATTTATAGCTGTTTTGGACTGTTTTCACTTGTAAACAGTGTTTGATCTGTACTTATTTTTTTCACTGGGAAAGCGTTATCATGGAGAGAGGACTCGTATTTTAAAGCAACAATTTGAAGTTAAAAACATCTTAATGATGGATTTGTTTCTAACAAGCATGCAGCTTTTGGTTTCACAAGACATTAATTGCTGGACTCAAATGTGGATTATTGTGATGTTTTTATCAGCTGTTTGGACTCTCATTCTGACGGCACCCATTCACTGCAGAGCATCCATTGGTGAGCAAGTGATGCTACATTTCTCCAAAATTGATGAAGAAACAAACTCATCTACATCTTGGATGGTCTCAGGATGAGTACATTTTCAGCAAATTTTCTTTTTTGGGTGAACTATTCATTTTACCTTATGTTTTGCTTTTTGACAAGTAAATATTGCAAAAAATACTTTGAGAAGCAGCTGATAACTAACATTTTTAAAAGCAGAAAGACTGATGACTTTGTGTTTGTGTTTTTCAGATAAAGAGCTTCTAAAGCCATCTGATGTGTCCATCTTCTCATCACTGAGTATTAATGGCCGTCTGTTTGTCTGCCCGAGGGAGCAGATCGACTCTTTGGTGTGTAAGAGACTGCATTTAAAACACACATCGGCTGTAAACACACAGAATCAAACATACATTTCTTCTTGGCCTTAACTGGGGATCTGGAGCTTTTCCTGGGCTTAACTGGGGATCTGGAGCCCTTCCTGGGCTCAACGGGGGGGATCAGGAGCCCTCCTTGGGCTTAACTGGGTATCAGGAGCCCTTCCTGGGCTTAACGGGGATCTGGAGCCCTCCCTGGGCTC